TTATTTTTTTTTTTAATTTTTATATCAAGAAATTTCTAGATTTGATAGTTTAGGTAATTTAGGTAATTATGTGATAAAAACCCATTCATAATTTAATTTGGGAAAAGAATGGAAGAGAAGTAATTGAAGCTGTATTTAAGAAAGCTAAGGGTCCGAAGGATATCATATGTCCGAGAGAGAGAGAGAGATAGAGAGAGAGAGAGAGAGAGAGAGAGAGAGAGAGAGAGAGAGAGAGAGAGAGAGAGAGAGAGAGAGAGAGAGAGAGAGAGAGACTTGCAATCACCACACACACACATATGGGAAAATAGAAGGAGCTCCGTTTGGTCCAATACCGAGAGCTGAGGAGTGGCTAGAGCTGCCATTTCATGCATTTTGGCTATCCTTAAGATTTTCATTGCAAAAATTCAAAAGAAAGAAGTGAAGAGAGAGAGAGGAGAGAAGTTGATCGTAAATGTTAAGGGTTTGGCCACGTGCATGGCGTGGGAGCAACTCCTTCCGCTCCCTTAGCTCACCCATTGGACTGAAGGGAGCTCCTCTATTTCTCATCACATAATTATACTTTAATTTCTACGTCGTTATATTTCATGTTATACATATACAATTATGTTCCAAAATCCCATAATCTTGAATAACATCTCATGTGATTTTCCTTTCTCTAATCCCAGTATCTTTCTTATTCGCTTTATACCATAATAATTAACGTCTTAATTATTATTAACGGTTATGCTGTTTCTCACTTATTCGCTCCTTATGTATAGGAATGATGTAGAGAAAGATCAACCTCAACATTATCGTGTTGCAAATCATCATACTCGTTCGTGCGTGGAACAACATATAGTACTGGTTTATATTTCTGCCTTCCACTATATATCTTCGTTTATCCGACGAGGTTTTTCTTCTGAACCATATCGAAAGAAAAATAAATTTGCATCTGAGATGGTCACAATTGTACAGTTACGCAAAAGATTATCCTAGGTGTTTATAACTTTTTCTCCGTTTTGTAATTTTATTAATTCCTGTGTTTTTGTATTACCTGGCTAGGTGTATTTTATTCTATTTTTGTCTTTTTGGTCCTTATTGCCAATAACTTGTACTACTATTGAGGTTTGAATTTATTGAAGTAAGAACAGTATGGATAAAACCACTCACTGGAAAAAAAAAAAAAAAAAAAAAAAAAAAAAAAAAAATTTTTTTTTATTTTTGTTTTTTTAAGATTCAAAAAAAAAAAAAAAAAAAAAAAAAAAAAGTTCCTTTTGACATTTGATTCTTTAAAGTTCCAAATATAACACTGTTATCGCTCTGAAGGTGGCAACCGGTAAAGCCTGAAGTAAGCAGAAATCCTACAAACAATGTAATCAGATGATGAACGCATGTGGTGTAATATTCTTAAATGCAACTAGAAAATTGTCATCCATAATTATTTTGCTACTGATATTCTTGCAAGACGAGAGAGAGAGAGAGAGAGAGAGAGAGAGAGAGAGAAATATTCTTGCAAGACAACCGTGTTTGGAGAGAGAGAGAGAGAGAGAGAGTTATTCGTTACTGATGAATATACAAAAGTCAGTACACACCAATGTTTCATTTAAATTAGTTTTCTACAAATGGCCGGTAATAATAATGCATGCATGCAGAATCATCTGAAAGCATGAAAGTAACAAATTTGAAATGTCTTTTTCCTTCTCATATATATTATAAACTTAAGGCGAATATAATATAGAATATAATATATGTTCCAATTGTCTTAGTCCCAGTGTTAACTTGTCTATTTCAAATCATGCACATCCTTATCGAGATTGCGTAACTTTTAAGGCCTGTGTGTTTTGTATTATTGGTGATAATAAATCATTGTCATTGATTGGTACCCAGCTAAAAGATATATTAACATACATATGATCAGACGTCATATACATATTCACACACACATACAGATATATGTTTTTTTTTTATTTTTTTTATTTTTTTAAAGTGAAAACATAAAAGAAGGAAAAAAATAATTGTGTTCTCCGAGTTGTGTATTGTCAAGAGTCCAAGAGGGGTGCTACAAAGAAAAATATAATTAAATAGGAAAACTAAATTGATGAGATATCTACATTAATCAATTATTAGAGATTGGTCAAAACTATAATAAAAAAATAAGGAGCTCTCATAACAAAGGATGTGAATCCCTTTATTTACAGCAACGCTAACTCAAGGTGGTGTCATAGAAGTCAAATTGTGCTTGGAAATTAATGGCCATGTTTGGAATTGATTCAGTTTTTATTTTTCATATTTTTTGAGAAAGAAAAAATAAAAACGTTTCTAAAACGGCGTTTAGCGCAATAAAGATAAAAAACAAAAATGAAAACGATTTTTTAGTTTAGTGTAAAATGAGAGAGAAATGAAAAACGACTTTTAGTCCTTTTTTATTTTTTATTGTTGTTTTCTCCTCTCTCTAAAAAAGAGAGAGACATTAATGGATTTTTTTTATACTGAAAATAATCTCTTGATAAAACTACCAAATACATTTTCAAAAATGATTTCTGTCTGAGATTGAAAATGATTTCATTTTCATTTTCATACAAAAAATAAAATCATTTTAAAACGAATTCCAAACAAGCCAAATAAATCTTTCAATTATCTAGAAGACAAATTAAGAGGCTCGGTGAAGATAATAGTTGGTTGATCGTGAAAAACAATTGTGAATAGTACTTAGATTGAACGAACAAATATTTATCTCATGTTACTGTGAAAAATAACTACTAAATAATTGTTCATATTTATTGAGCAAAACAATTATCGTGGAAGATCAAACGTTCAAAAACTTGTAATCTTCTTTGATATTGTCCTCTCCTTGAATTAACTAGTGTGTAGGCACCAACTGATTTTCTTGGACTCTCTCAATCCTCCTTTCAATCTCTCTTGGCTACTAAGCTCCAACGGTGAAAGCCCAAGAAAACCTAAATAGAGGCCCAAAAATATCTAAGTGAAAATACACCACTCGATGTATATAATTTATAGCACACAATTAAGAGACTTTTAATTCATGAATTAAAATTATGAGATTATAACCATTTTTAATTTACGTATATTTTTTATGAGAGAAAACACTGTAACAAATCATAAATCATGATTCAAATCGATGTACAAATCCCCTTACTAAACGTCCCTAATTGAGTTTAGGCCAATTCCCAACTCTAGGCTGTGTGTGGTGAACAACTTCCACAGGGAAAGTAGGCATGTGGTAAACCCTTCCTCTGCCTCGTGTCACGCTAATTAATTGTGTAATTTTTCTACAATAAAATTAACCAATATTTAAATAGTCAGGATCCAATTTTGATTGAGAATATCAATTCTCGATTAAAAATTGTATAGAAATCTATAAATTCCATTCCGCTGTATTGTACGCGTTTTTCCTGAACATGTCGCTTTGTTATTTTTCCGCGAGATTGTTAAGCTTCATGGGGTGCCTCATACCATCACCTCGGACCGCGACTTAAAATTCCTCAGCCACTTTTGACGTGAACTTTGGTGTCGATTCTTCACGATGTTTATTTCATATATTCGTCTTTAATTTTGAATCATGATTTATAGTTTTTTACATTATTTTTCTCTCATAAAAAATACACATAAAACGAGAATGATTCTAAATCATGATTCTGAATTCATGAATCAAACGTCCACTAAATTTAGTAGCGCCTATCATCCACAAACCGATGGACAGGCCGAAGTCGTCAACAGGGAAACAAGTTGCGCTGCCTGGCCAGTGACAAACCGAAGCAATGCGACTGCACTTTACCACAGGCTGAGTTTTCTTTCAACTCTATGACCAATTCCGTCAAGAAGCCATTCAACACTTGGAGACAACCAATGCAGCTTATAAAACTGCTGTCGATTCTCACCGTGACTGAAGAAATTTCAGGTGGGAGACTTGGTGATGGTCCACCTCCGCCGTGAGCGTTTTCCCGTGGGAACTTACAACAAGCTGCGCGATAAGAAGGTTGGTCCAGTCGAGATTTTGAAGCGCATCAATGACAATGCTTACGTTGTGAACCTTCCATCATCTCTTCAGATTTTCTCCACATTTAAGTCTTATTTATTTCACCGATTTGAGTTTTTAATTCTAAATTTTTATAATTAAAAGCTCTCAGAAAATGTCACATCTAACTTTTTTTTACTAAAGTTAAAAGATTTTAAAAAATATCACATCTCAGCTCAAATTAAAAACTCGAATCTGCGAAATAAATAACACATTAATGTTGCTGATCTACACGAGTATTATCCCCCAAACACCGCAACAGTTCTTCAAGAAGATTCGGGGTCGAATCCTTTTCAGGAGGAGTGCAATAACGTAGAGGATTAGCTGGTCGTTTTGACTGTTTTATGTGTCGTTGGCTTTGCTTCTGTTGCTGGTCGTTTTATGCTTTATTAATGCGTAAGTTGTGTCGTTGAGTTAAGGTTGAGAGCGGTGTCGTTTTGCATAACGGCCGACTCCTTTTTCCATCCTTAGCTTCCTTTTCATCCTTCTGTATTGTTCGGACATTCAATACAGTGTTTGCAGAGTAGGGACCCACGATTCCTTATCTCTTGCGTTTGCCAGAATTAACTCTGTTATTTCTGTTGACTCTTGCATCATAATCTTTCTGAAAACTAGTCGATTGAGCTAGGGATAAAATCGCTGCCTTGATCCGAATTAAGGAGATGTTTAGTTGGAAGATTCAAACCATAATTTTTTATTTTTGTGTTCAGTTTTCTGGCCTTCTTTTGCATTCTTTGCGTAGATTAGAGGGAAATTCCTCTCAGAAAATATTGAATATTGTACGTACAAACCAAATATTTTAGCGAAGAAATAGCAAAGGTAATATATATTCTCAAAGCTAAAATATACATACATATACATACATATATATATATATATATATTTATATACCGATCGAACATTGTACTGGAGCTCCAGTTCTCCTTACAACAAATTTTCGAGAAATGGATCTTCAGTACACAGTTAGAGAAAAACAAAACGTTATAAAAGTGTTAAAAAATAATAATAATAATAATGTAGAGCTAGCTACCAACTTACTTCCACTTATTCTAGGAAAAACCGAACAAACTGTAATTAGTTCCCAATTTTGCCAAGGAAAAGGAAAGCAAATCAAAGGCAAAAATTGGAAGGTAGCTTAATTATTTTAATTAGTAGTAGTACGTGTCATATCATTTGCTCATCATGAGCTGGTACGGAAAAGAAGTACTATTAGTACTGTTATTGACAGTGCTCATGAAGAACGTTCTCTTGACGAATCGGCCTTTCATTCTTGGCCTCTTCTCTGCGTTGAGTTTCCTAACTTCATATCTGATTTTCTTCGAAAACAAGCGTGTTCTTCGCTTCTCTCTGTATCGCGAAACTCTCGCTTCTCTTCCTCCATCACCAACACTCCCTCCAACTCCTCCTAGCCCTAGGCCTCCTCTTGATGAATCTCCGTTTGCGGGGCCAACATGATCCGTATGACACACGTCCTGAAATTTTACGTGCAGCAATATTTAATGTCAACCTCAAAAAAAAATTTTATTTTTTTTTTGGGAAATATATAGAATTTTTGAAATTCTCTGAATGAAAAGGTTAAGTATCCTAGTCTATAGCAGCTAATATTTCTTAAACAATTTTGGTAACATGCATGAGATTTCAATATAGCTCGATCTTGTATTTTCTCACTATTTTTTTAATTTGTTTTCCTGCAAATAAATTATTAATTTCAAGTTAAAGTACACATACTAAGACTGTTCTATACGTCATTTGGGGTGTGTAGGTAAGTTCAAAAAAATTGAGATGTAAAACCAAAGGCAATATATAATAAAAACTTTAGGAAAAATTTTGTACAGTGATTGTTTGAATGTGGTAGATTATTTTTGGAAATTAAATAATGGATTAAAAAACATATCTACTTTTATTTATTTCTTTTTGGAGGGAAAATATCTGCGTTCTATTGATTGTGGCTTTAGTTTTTTTTTTTTTTTTTTACACAATAAAACTATTTATAACTGAAAGTTACCTTTGATAAAAAATTAAAAAAAACAAAAAAAAAGAGCTTACCAAGCAGTCTGGCCAGCCGTCATCCGGGTTGAAATCGGGTCGATTTCCGGTGGTCCACGGGGAACCTTGGCTGGCCCAGGCAGCGATGACTGCCTCATAATTTAGCCTCAGAATTATGTCTCTCTTCTTCGTCTGCACCATGGGAGAATTAGCAGTTTCATGAAACACACATGTTTCTTTTTCCTCTTTAACTTTCACTCTTTGTTCCGAAGGGTTAATGCAGACATCGACGTCGATATCGATATCGAAATCATCTTCTTCTTTGCATCCCAAGAGCTCCAATTCCAACCCATTGATGTCTTGACATGATTGATCATGATCTTCTAGTCCCCCGCCGAGCAAGCTCTCGACATCTGCCGCGAACTCCGCGAGCTCTAGCTCCGACGGTAGAAATCCGTGTATCTCGTGATCAAACTCGGCTTCATGAGCAGTACTAGTACTAATTACACTTTTCCCGTAATCTTGTTGACCTAATTCCTTTCCTTTCTCTGTGGTAGTCATCCCCGCTCTCTCATCATCATCACCATTAATCGAATTGCAAAGCTCCGCTGCAAAGGGATCGAACACTGGGACCCGGTAGAGCAGCTGTTCTTCTTCATTCTCATCAGTAATCGGAGACTCCTCTTCATTACTCATCTCCGGAACAAAAGGCAAAGGATCATGACGATGATTAGCAGCACTCAAAACCTTCTCAACATCATCATATTTCGCTTGTTGCGCGGCCGGCTTATTGTTGTGCCGCGGGGTTCGGGCTTTTCTCGTGAACCCTCGGTGCCATGCCGGCGAGCATTCGTCATCATGAAGGTCGTGGTGGGAGTGATTGTAGTTGCCCTTGTGCGACGATGTTTGGAGGCGAACTCTTTCGTGCCTGCTAGCCAACTGGTTGGCGCTGTGGACGGATGTGTCGCAGGCTTGGCAGAGAAATGCATCGTCTGCGGCGCAGAACCACCTTGCCCGCTTCCGCAGGCAGCTGTCGCAGGCTCTCGCCGTCTTGCCCGCCATGGCATTCGCAGTCTTCTTATCGGTGATCATTGGAAGGGGAAAAAAAAAACAAACCTTGATTCTGTACTAGCTACTTTGTTAATATTGGATTCTATTATTCACAAAAACTTGAAAGAAATTTTTGAAAGAGAGAACAAGTGACAAACACAAAAAGGGTATTTGATTACCGGAACTCATCACAGTTCGGAATTTTGAGTTACCTGTTCATATATATTCAGGACATAAAATGATTCAATTATTTTGGTGGGGACTATGAGAGTGTGTGTGTGTGAGAGAGAGAAGGGATTTTGCGGTACTTTTGGTGGTTTGCTAATAGAGAAGGGATTGGCGCTCTTTTGGGACCCACAAGTTGTTCTTATCTCGGTGTTCATTGGCTAAAGGTTTCAAGTCCATCTTCTTCTTTGAATTCTGATTGGTTGGCTGTCTAATGAAGGGGATTCCATGTGGATCCATATGGGATTTTTGGAAAGGCTCATTTTCTCAAAATTTTGAGGAAGACCCTTTTGTTGCTTTGTTTCAATTATTCAAATATTCCTGTTAGACCTTTAAAATCGTTTGTTTTGCGGTCCCCTCAGTTCCACCAAATGGTTGCTTTCAACATTCCTTTCTCTTTCTCTCTCTAAAAGTGTTATATATGCTCCAGAGATGATGATGATGATGCATATGGTCTTTGTAAATAAAATAAAATAAAATAATGGCTTTTTTGTAAATAGCGGGGGGCTGAAAATAGTTGCTACAATTTTTCAGCTGTTGACAGGTTAATTCGTTAGTTTCTGCAGTTTTCTTTTCAAATGAATATAGGCCACAAGTCCTACGTGCAAACATAAAGAAAGAAAACTGTTCTTTGGGGCCACCTCTTAATCAGAATTTTACTACGTAAATTGACCTCAGAATTGATGTGTTTCACACATTCATGGACCTAGAGTAGTTGATTGTTAAACTCAGGTGGATCTCATATATTTTACCATTCATGGCGCACAGTAAATAAACTAGATTTCATATCACCAGCACCACAGGTGCTTGAGGTAATTTTTTGGGCCACCATTTATATTGTACTATGCACTGACAGTGCTTCTCTGTTAGTGTTTTTTTTTTCTTCTTTTCTTTAGGAGTTAAACGTTGCACTTTCTTATTAAAACATTAGGGGCTGCTTCAGTTCGTAGATTCGACTTTTCAATTCGAACTGAGATATGATTTTATGTGAGAACTTTTAACTGTAGTAAAAAAAATTATATGTAACTTTTTTTAAGAGCTTTTAACTGTAGTAAAACTGAAATTGAAAACTCGAATCGCTGAAACGAACGAGGCCCATCATTGCTAATGGTCGAATATTTGCCTTCTCTTTTTTTAAGAACTTTTAACTGTAACAAAACTGAAATTGAAAACTCGAATCACTGAAATGAACGAGGCCTAGATCATTGCTAATGGTCGAATATTTGCCTTCTTTTTTTTTTAAAGAGATATTTATGTGAGTTTCTTGAATTTCAGTCTGAAGCATGAGTTGCATGTGTGTGTGCTTTTGTGTGTATTGAAATGAAGAAAAGGAAAATAGACACATAGTAAAGTTCTTTGATAATCCGTTCTAAGTAGTACCTTTTCCTCCACGGCATCTTTTCCATAAATCTATGTATTGTATAGAGAGCACTAAGTAAATGTGTGGCTAAAAATTTTGTTGACATTTGAGATGTAAATGTCAAATAGTCTATTCATCATATTTTCCTTTATGATTCTTTCCATTTTAGATTGATGGATTGTAACATAGGTGTGACAAATGTATTGTTTGATTGTACGAGATCTCCTAATTTAATTTTAGAAAACTAATTGTAGGAGACAATTTGTAGCAGTGAGATTTTATCCTTATATAATAAGTGGTTCTATTCACACACCCGTAACTACTCTCTACACCCTTCTTCAAATTAAAATTTCTTATCTCAAAATACTCACAAAATGACAAAAAAATGACAATTATGATTAATTTAATTGCATTGCTAAATTTTATTATGAAAATAAACTAATAGTGATAGGATTTTCTTTTGCTCTTTTTTGGTTTTTTTTCACATATTATAAAGTTGCGTGGATTGTTTTGTTCTTATTATTTATTGTTTTGGTTCTTTTTTTTGTTTTTCTTATGTTATTTCAGTATTTTACATTATTTTTTACTCTTCTTTTTTTTTTTTTTTTGCCTTTTTTCTCATACCTCAATTGATATTGTAAAACATTATAGTTGTCGTTTTGGTTTGTATGTATTTATTTTTAGTTTTTAGTTTTTTTTTGTTGTTAAATTTATATAATTTTTTTTGTGTTGTTTCTTTTGCTTTTTTCTTTATTTGCTTATTGACAAAAAGGAAGGAAAAAAACAAAAGGCTCCATGCCAAAACCATCGCCCAAAAAACTAGAAAGTGACAGTGAAATGAATTTATCCTTAGAGTACAGGATCAAAAATTTTAACCCTTATTCTTGATTAATATCCTTTTAACTAATATAATTATTTAATAAATGGGTAATTCTTAAAAGTACCCTTTGAAATGGAGCTCCTTATCTTTACCTCTAAAAATTAACACATATATTTCTACCTTTTACATTATAATTAGTTAAGGGGTAGAGCTTTTTAAGAGGAGTACTTTTAGTAAGTCAAGTACTTAAAGAGATAGAATATATACTTTAAAAGAATATTAATCAAAAGTAAAAATTTAAAAAAAAAAAAAGAATACAGACGTATACACTCTAAAAAGTATCTGTCTCATTTTCTCTTAATTAAAAGAATGTATTCTTTATCAGTAGATCACGTATTCATCTTACTGAACAACATTAAATCTTTAACATATCTTCTCTTTTATCTTCTATATTTTGTTATTTCTTTTTTTTTTTTCAAGAATTGTTTTATCCATTTAATTATTATTCGGTCAATAGTATAGAGACCGGAAAGACGTGGTACATTACTTGGAAATTTCTAACGATTATGCTGAATTTGGTCTTAACATATCTTCTCTTTTATCTTCAATATTTTGCTATTTCTTTTTTTTTTTCAAGAAATATTTTATCCATTTAATTATTCGGCCAATAGTCTAGAGACCGGAAAGACGTGGTAGATTACTTGGAAATTTCTAATGATTATGATGAATTTGGTTACCAAATGAAAAACATGCGTGCCATATAGACAGTAGACACCGAGAATGATTTTGTAGTTGCGCTTGAAAATGTTGAAACGTATGCGTCCTTAAAAACAAAAAATAAAAATAAAAAAAAATAAAAAGAGAAAGAAGAAGTTAAGATAGCTTTTGAAAAATCTTATTAACAACAATATCTGTAACTACTCTTACCTTTACTTAGTATGATATTGTCCGTTTTGTGTCTAAATCTATATAGTTTTACTTTGAAATTCACTTCAAAAGGCCTCATATCATTAAAAAACAGTGTCATTTTTTATAAATCATCACTTATATCTTTTCTCAGGTGATGTGGATTGCAAAGCTCATCCTATCTTAGCCATTTTGCGTCATAACCATATTTTTAGTTTACCCTTATTTCTGCATCAGGATTTTATTCTCTCTTTTTCCTTCTCTTTCCATTTTCCTACTTCTTTCTCTTTTTCTCTAATGAAACTTGTGATCGAACAATGGAGGAATTATGTCCCCAGTGAGAATGTTGTCATCGCGAAAGATGTGCACAAGCCGTGGGTCCTTGGCCGCGTTGCAATGTTCACCAATGGGGCTCCATGTCATTGGCATTACAAATATACGAGGATATCTCTTATGGTAGAGAGCAAGAGACCAGTAGAACTCCAGTGGTACTTTGCAGTTGCTGCTATAGCTATAAATTTAGGTGTAGGCCAAGTGGTCCAGCTTGAAGCCCAACATTTTGATACGGGCCCAACCTAGCCCAAGCCATATAAAAACTTGAGTCGAGCATGACCAACATGAGTCTCTATGTCAGATAAGGGTGAGGATCTTGGCTCGAAAGTCTAATTGAGACGGGTTGACCTGACCCAATTAACCTTTAATTTCAAAAATAGTAGAAAATAGGTCAATATGAAAATTTTAAATAAGTATATAGGTCAATTTTTAGTTATAGAAATTAATAGGTCATAATTTATCAAGTTATGGTTCATAATTAGATAAGTTATGAACAAACTTATTAAGTTATGGTTCATAGCTAGACAAGTTACGGACAAAAATCGTGATTTATGGACAATAACTTGTCAAGTTATGAACGAAAACATTAATTTTGCCTATTTATTAACTTATGTAAACTATTGGCTTATTAATTTTAATTCATCTCAAGTCTTGACTTATTTCCCTCTTTCTCCCCTTTAATTTTTCCAAAAATTCTAGCTTAACGGGCCGATGCTAGGCCAACCTTCTTCCCACTAAGCTTGGCCCAGCCTAATTCAGTTTCGTCATTTAGGTCGCTCAGCCGAACGACTTGAATTTATAGCTCTACTTGCCATACCATTTCATGACGACTACAGCTAGTGTTGGTTTTGAAAATGGTTTTCTATGTAGAAACATATATCTAACGGATCGCGTATAATAAAAATTTTAATAAATCTTTGGTATATAGAATACATTAATTTTACACGAATAAATTAATCAAATTAATTTATGAATAAATTTACCCAGTGAACGATTAGGTCGATAACTTGAGTTTTTTGACCACGAACGTTTCTCACTTCAAGCTTGTTTAGAATACCTGAATCTTCCTTGTCAATTTCTCAAATTTACGAAGACGTGTGTGTAGGCACACCTGAAACAAAGTGGGATTAGTACTCAAACATGATTATTACTAGTGTTAAACGATCTTCAAAGTCGGTGGCTAGATTTTCGGATAAATAAGATTGTTATAAGTAAATATGGCATTTACATGTAATACGGTATTATAAAAAAATACAGTGTCAAACGGTCACCAAAAAATGGTCGTTAGATTTTCAGGTAAATATGATATTTACTAGTAAATATAGTATTTACTACTAAATATAGTATTTGCCTGTAAATATAATGTCAAATGGTTGCCAAAAAATGGCCACCGGTAGCCGAAGCCAGTCGCCAGTCATCGGTCCTGACGATGGTTGACTTAGGGTCCGTTTAGTTCGTTGATTCGAGTTGAGATGTGACTATATATGAGAGCTTTTTACTGTAGCAAAAAAGTTAGATGTGATTGTTTCTGAGAGCTTTTTACTGTAGCAAAACTCGAATTCTAAACTCAAATCGGTGAAATGAACGGAGCCTTAAGCTACAATCTACTTATTTTAAAAAGTATGCTATAATTTACTATTTTTAAAAAATAAATATTTAAAAGGGGAAATGAGATGGAAAATGAGATTTAAAAATATTTTAAATTTCTAATAATATTTAAAATTTTAAATTTCAAATTCTATAATCTACTAATTTTTAAAAATATATTATACTTTACTAATCACAATCACTCTATCAATCACGCTGTTTCACTAATTCTCCTAATAAAACAGTAGTGTTAACGCATCTCGTCCTTCCTTTTTAGCGCGCGTTCGGTAAAAACGCCTGCAGTTTGTAGCAGGCGATAAACCCTTTGAAAAAACTCTCTCACCAGCCAAGCGGCTTTTATATCCTCTCTCGCGCCGCCACCTTTCGGACCTTCCGCCACCATGAAGAGCCCTAACCACGTCCGAATTCCGCTGCCAGAGCTTACCAGTTCCGCCAAATCTCCATCTAAACTCGCGCATTCATCAACGCCGGATCGATCCCAGAATCGCCGCAAAAGAAAGCGCAACGAACAAGAAACCCTAAAACCCGACTCGCCTCGCTGCTTCGCCGGCGCTGACAGCTTCCATTGCCTTCGCTCGTCGTCTCGCCGGTGCAGGAGGCGTAGCGGGACTGAGCAGCGGACCCGCGCCGAGAGATATAGACGATGGGCGTACTCTTCCCGCGATTCGTCGAGCTTCAAAGGTTAGAAAAATTGATTGCCTTGGACTTTCTGTGTTGTGTTTTGAATGCAATTTGTCTTCCAATTGATTGACGTTTTTAAAATTTAAGCTTTGTACATAGTAGATAATTTATTGCTTTGTTTACGGGAGTTTCAAATTTTTGAATTCTTGTGCTAGAATCACTTCTTAGGTTTCGCAAAGGATCGAGCCTTGCCAAAAATCTTCATTGTGGAACTCTACAATTGTCTCCAATTAATGATTTTTTTTTTCTTTTTTCACCTTGAGAAGAATTAAAACCTTCTCACTGAACAATGGACAATTTTCAAAATCTGGGTTTCATTGTTACTGAGTGAGAACGAGTAAAGTGTTAAAAGATAAGCTTGAAACGAAGTTTAAGATTCATAGTGAGGCTTTGGCTTTGCTGGAATTGGAAAATTTTGAGTTGTTTTGGTTTAGAATAAAATGTAAAATCGCTAACAGTTTGTTTGTGTTTGAAGTTGTTCGGAGCTGAAAAGTCTGAATGTAATTAATTCTTTCCTAAATCCATTGTTTCTCTTGCAGATAAGGTGGTGGTTGTATCTTATAACATATTGGGTGTTGAAAATGCGTCAAAACATCCAGATCTGTATTTTAAGGTCCCACAAAGATTTATGGAGTGGAACAGGCGTAAAAAGCTTATACGCAAGGAGATTAATCGGTACAACACGAGCATCCTATGCCTTCAAGTATGCATTGGAGTTACTGATTAGCCTGTCAAAGTCGATTCTTAGAAATTTTTGTTATGTTCTAGCGGGATAGATATAATCTTATCTTTGTGGTCTGAATGAAGCTTATAGTGCTCTCTTTCACATCTATTGGCTAATTTTGTAAAATTGGGCATGATTTGTTACAGAAATTTGTTCTTATGGTACCCTCTGTGCTGTAGGAGGTTGATAACTTTGATGATTTAAATGATCTTTTTCGAAAAGATGGGTTTAAGGGTGTTTACAAGGTATAATGTAACTGAATATCGCTAACTTGCAGTTACTATTTATTTATTTATTTGGCTTTGTATTTGTCAAGTTTTAATCAACATGGATTGAAATATCTGCAGGCACGCACCGGTGAAGCATATGATGGATGTGCTATATTCTGGAAAGAAGATCTGTACGGTCTCTCAGTCCCTTTAGATCGCAAATTCTTGCACTATTTCTCTGCTATGCCATGACCATTCACCTTGAAAGTGACTTTATTGTTGACTTTCGACACACGTAGATGACTTTCTTGTACTTGCTTTCAGTTTCTGTAACCTGTGATTCTGGTTGATAAATGTCTGTTCATTCGTATTGTCCACATTTTAGCATATTCATATTTTTTGAAGACAGATTTACTCTTTTGCATCAAGAAAATATAGAGTTTCAGAGCTTTGGCCTTCGCAATAATGTTGCTCAACTTTGTGTTTTAAAGGTATGCCAGGAGATTAGTTTATGCAATATGACTGAGTTTTGTACACACACACACACACACACACACACATATTTATTTTATATATATATATATACATTTTTCTTACCTCTCTATATATTATAATATATTTTTTTTTTTTTTTTTCCTTTTTCTCTTTTCCCCTTTGGGGCGGTCAATCTGAAAACTGTGTCCACGTTTTTATAATGCAAATGGATACTCACTTTGGTTTAACGGGCCACTTTCATTACACATTGTTTTCATTGTACGCTTTTATGCTGCAGTCTTCTAGTTTTATTGATGGTCACAACTTTTTTTTTTTTTTTTTTTTTTAATTACTTCTTAATCTTTGCCATTTGATACCTGAACAGATGAAACCAAATCAATCAGAGTTGGATGAACATCCTCAGACAATGTAAGTAGTGTTTGGTGTTACACGTTGCTTATGGTCCTTGACAAATTGTGTTTTTAGTTTTTTGTTTATTGGTGAGCACTTAACAGATAAAAGCATGTAATCTTAGTTTGTTGTTGTCACTCATACACTATTGTATATTGAAAACTAAAGTGTCTGGGGTTACAAATTCAAATTCAAATAGTGTATATAGAGAGCTCTTTTCATCTATGAGGCGTGTCTATTAGATGTCCACCTCCTTTACTAAGACGACTTTTGACGTGATTCACGGCTGTTAAATTTGCTGTACAAAATGCCTTTAAGAATTGTCTTTATTAGTCCGTCTAGATATTTGTACATAATGCACGAAAAAAGTATTTTTCTTGTTCTGCCTGAAGGTAATTCGGTTCTTGGGTCATAGTTATTATGTAGGAAATTGTTTCCCTTGTTCTTCTTAGACGTAATTCAGTTCCCCAGTCAGGGTTGATTCCTCACTTCTATTAAAATTTTAGGCTTCCACCCACTCAAAGCCGAAGCTTCGTGATTGGAAATATCCATGTGCTATTCAATCCAAACCGCGGAGACATCAAGCTTGGCCAGGTATCTCTCATTACTTCCAAGTCAACAATTCCCGTTTTTTATGTGTACTCTCTGCATGCAATCTACATTTCTGCCCATCTTTTTGTTCCTTATTTTGATGGGGTGTTGTGGGGTGAAAAATGATGGGTGTTGTCGATGGTAGTTTCTTCAATAACAATGCTGAATGATGCTGTAGGTGAGACTACTTCTAGAAAAAGCTTCCAAGCTATCACAGGAATGGGGCTCCATCCCTGTTATATTATGTGGGGATATAAATAGCATTCCGCAGGTTAGACCTTTGGGACTAGATTACTGTTTTGTGCCTTTGAAGTTCTGTGCTAGTCACTTAATAACTAAGTTTCTTTTGCCATGCGGACAGAGCCCCATATACCAGTTCTTGGCTTCATCAAGGGTCACTGTTCTCTAAATCCCGTTTCAACTTTATAGTGTTTGTTTTTCTTATGTTATTTAAGGTTCTATTTAGATTAACAAAGTTTTATTGGAATTTGTTGCAGCTGGATGTTCAGCTACATGACCGCAGAAATATCTCAGGACAAGTTGAATTTCAATCAAAATGCAGAGTCTTCAGATCACAGGATGAGAAAGCAAGCAGGTTTAAAACTTTCTGCAGTTTAGAGCTACTAATTTTAAGTGCGCAGAAAAGAGAATGCTATATAATAGAACTTGACTTTCCTCTGCTCCCATATGCTTAGATCTGCTGCAAATCTGCAAACTGAACATTATTTTACTCTTTTACTTATTTATCTGTGCATTTATTTTGTGCTATTGCTAACTGCTTACTATATAGCTGCAGTATTCGGACATCCATATCAAGGCCGTTGTTCCATAGATGGAGTGATGAAGAATTAAGGCTTGCAACAGGCAGCGGAGAGGTCACTTATCTTCAGCACCATTTAAAGCTTTGCAGTGCATATCATGGCGTTCCCGTAAGCTGAAATGATCATTTTTGCTGCTACGTAAATCAGAATTTTTGTTTGCTTATATCAAGTACTTTTTCCATTTTATTTTATTCATGCACCTAATGAAATGGAAGTTGATAACTGAAAGATTTAGACATACCAGAATGTGTCTTCTAACGAGAATATCCATGTGTCATTGGGCATTCGTTTCGTCTTCTCTCTTTTCTTCTTGGTATCATTCCCTGCCCACCCTGTCCTTTCTCATTTCCATGGTTAAATTCTGCAGGCAAGTTGTAGAACGAGGGATGATTTTGGAGAACCTGTAGCAACATCATTCCACTCCAAGTTTATGGGAACTGTTGATTACATTTGGTAGTTCATTTTCATGTAAAAGCACAGAACTTGGTGTTTATATTTGGATACTTTATTTACAGACATCTATGGCTGCTACAGGCATACTGAGGAATTTGTTCCTGTGAAAGTTCTGGAAACCTTGCCAGTTGATATCTTGAAAAGAACTGGAGGACTCCCTAGTAAGGTACCTCTCATTTTTCAATCAATGTTGATCCAATCAGTCACATGGTAAACTCGAGTTTTCTATTAGGTTGATACCAGGCTGTTCATATATTATGTATAAATGAAAGTGCTGGATATCCAAGATTCTCTGTGTACATCATTCCTTCTTTTCTATATAATTTTCAGAAGGGGAGGCAGAACTGTCCTGTGAAATGTATCAGAGTGTTCTGTAGCATGTGCGGTATAACTAATTGGTTTTGTCTGGAGAGAGGATTAAACTTTTCTTTTTTAAGACAAATGAAAATGCGCTTAAATTATAATATAGTAGCTCTCGAATTGTTTTGCATTCTTTTACTTAATTGGCATTTGATGAGTAAATAATTGCAAAGAATGATATTTGTATCCTGGATAGGATGGTATGATGATTCATTATTATATATGATCACCACATCCAGTGTCCTTGTCATGTTGGCTTCCTGTGGTAGAAAATGTTGTTTTCTGTTGAATGCTATGTATTTTGGGGTGATTATTAATGTCCTGTTACTCCGTACTTAGAGGCTTTCTGTTATGGTCCCGGTTTTAGAAGATTTTTTCTTCGAGAAATCACTTAATGCAGCAACCCAGACAACATATTTAATTTGCTAGGAAAATGCAAACTATGCTGCACGAGTTTGGGCCCATTAGAAGTGCACTTTCTTTCTACAACTGGCTCTCATAAAAGCCAACATGTTAACCTTAGGGTTAAACATCTAGATTTCTGAAACAATTTAGAATTTACTTGTACATACTTTTTCACCATGCTGTAGATTTTTCCAATTATGGACTCAGTACCACAGTTTCATTATCGTGTATATAATTTACATGGCAGAAATGGGGAAGCGATCATCTTGCTCTCGTATGTGAACTGGCTTTTGTAGACAATTGCTGCGGGGACTCACCGCTGTGACATCTGTACCAAGTTCCAATTCAAGCCCACACCAAGGTAGAGCTAGTTTGCTCCAAATATTTTAGGAGCAAACTAGCTTGGTAAGCAATATATATATATATATATATTACCAAGCAATTCTTTTCAGTGTTTCTGAGAAGGTCAGTTGACCCTCATAAGGAGGTTTTTAAAAGCTTCCATAAGGAAGGGAATGATTGGGATTGGTGTACCAAGTCCAATACGAAAAATTTGATCTCCTGATGTATTTTTCTACCAGTGTTTTACTTTTGTATAAATGTAACTGCGAATTTTCATCATAAAATAAAACTAAGATGATTTATAGGAGGGAGTACGATCTATGTATGGCTTCAAAATCCATGTGGTTAATGCAGTCCAATTGTCGGTGGTATTGTAGACTAGGTCATGTGAGTTTGGTGATGATGTGCTGACTTTTTTAGTACCTCATTTGTTTGTTGGTGCCAAATTGAGTTAATTGGAAAATATTCAAATAATTCTGCTCTGCGGTCCAAATCAGCTTGTGGAAAAGAAAAGTCTTGAGAGAAGAAAGGTGAGAACGTTTTTGCCTTTTGGTTATGAGAGAAGAGGGAGGAAGACCAAGAAATCACATTGCCGTTTGGTTGGGGGGAATGAAAAAAAAAAAAAAAAAAAAAAAAAAAAAAAAAAAAAAAAAAAAAAGTCTCTGGAGAAAAAACTCAAGAAAAATCAATTTCTTGCGTTCGAGTTAGAGGACAAAAAAAAAATAGTCTGTGGAGAAAAAACCAAGAAATCACCTTGCGTGGAAGTTTATGTCCCGACGTTGGAAGCAAAATTGGACAGTCGTTATTCTGAAAGAAAAAAAAAAGGTGGGCAGTGGTAGTAATGGACAGAAGCGTGCGTTTTAGGAAAATTAAAAACGAAAAAGAGAAAAACAAAGAGGGATTTTTTCTGGTCATCCTTGCAAAAATGAGTATCAATAGTCCTTTACTTTTCAACCGTTAAATTTATATGTTATGTATATTTTTTCATTTGATATGATTTTGATCAGATCTAATAGTCGAAAACTGAAACTACTAGTAAAACGGACTACTAGAGAAACTCCTAAAGAAAAATAAGATGCTAATTCTTCTTAAGGTGGGCATTGTAAATGCAACTGCAACTAGCCAATCAAGATAGAAAAATTATTCATCGCAAAATTATACTGGTGTATTATAGATCTTTCCTTGATAAATAAATAAAAAGGAGCGAGCCTTAAAAAGTTGTTCTATTTTAATTCCACTCTTGTAAAAAGGATTGAACCATGATTAAACTATGAAATAAACAAGCTCTAGATTGTGGAATTCCACAGTGATTTTTAAAACATTTTGAAAAAGTTGTTATATTTCAATTGCACTCTTAAAGATCGTGTAATTTTTACAAAGGGAGATAACAACAGTGTCTATTAGTTGTTCCTTGGATTGGTTCTCTTTTTTTTTTTTTTTTTTCTGATAGGGTTTGGATTGGTAATTTTGGTTTTGGCTTGTAAATGTATACTAAAAAGCTTATGGCAATTATATGCTATGAAGACTTAGCTTCATCTTGGTACTTCAATGGAACAACACAGTAGAAAGTCAACCATAACAGTGACTTTTTTAATAGGCCTTGTTGTGGAAGGCTGATTGGAGTCATTTACATAACTCAACTTGAGTTGGCCATCATGAATCATGATGACAAACCAGCAAAGCCGGTTAGGACATCCGAGGTTGAACCTTCTTTTCTGGGACTGTTTCGAATTTTTATATCTAATAAAAATAAAAAAATATATAAAATAGAGAATTTTTAATACATATCTGATCATTAAAAATGAAATTTTTTTAGTATTTTAGTTTTCCAGTGTTAATAAGAGAAATTTCCCATTTGATTTTCTTGTATAATATATGTATGTGTGTGTGTGTGGCAAAATAAATTTCGTTTTCAGTTATTTGACATTTGATCTCGATATGAAACCTTAAGTCTAGGTTCGGGCTTGAGAACTTTACTTTGGGTCCCGGTGGCTCCAAACCGGTGTTTTTTGGTGTTTTGTGTGTAAGAGAGAGGTGGGAGACATAACATGCCGCCCAAAAAAGATGACATTTTTATTAAGAAAAGTCAGTTTTCATGTCAAAGAAAATACAATAAACAAAAGGGAATTTTTCTTATATGATAGTCCTATTAGTAGTGTCATTTTATAACCGTTAAGTTTAACTAAAATCATAACAGATTAAAAATATATATATATATAATTAATAATTTTTAATATAAATTTAATAATTAAAAATAAAAAATTATCAATAATTTATTTATTTTTTATTTTTTTATTCTACCAGAGAAGCCCCTCAAATAAAAATAAACACGTGAATTTTGAAAGGGACATATAAATACTACATTTATATCTTTACCAACTACCTTCCCAACTTGAAAGTCCACCCATTGCTTGCATAGCAAGTGAGCTACACTTCTACTTTTTTGAGAGACGCTTCACTCTTTTACTTTACAAACTGTCAATTTTGTTGCCGAGGTGCATTAGTTGGTACGATATAATTCTGCTCCTTTAAAAGTCCAATCATATCAAATAAATAAATAGAACAAAGTATGCCTGTAAACTTAGGAGAAATCTTAGAGCAAATTGTAAATTCCTAATATTTGATTGCTGTTAGTTGATATATTAACGTTTTCATATAACCAATAATATTGTTCTTTTTAAATAAATTAATATAAAGGTTTAATTTTATAAGTTTCAAAACTCAATAACCATGATAAAATATAAACATGTCATTTAAAATAACATTATGCATTAGAGTACATAAACAAATAACACATCAAATATGTTATTTTTACTTTTTAATAATAAATATAATTTTGGTATTAGTGATGATTTTACTAGCTATCTTTTTTTTTTATTTCTCTATCAAGTTTTGTTAATTGTCATATTTTTCTTAAATCCAATATTAATATGATTTGACAGCTTGAAACTATATCGCACAGACGGATGAAATATTTTCTTTTTTGATACCTATCAAAGAATTTCCTACATATTCAACACAATTCATCAAATTCAAAACCAAATATCATCAATTTCTCTTTGTATTGATGTAGACAATCTCTATAATGTTTGATTGTTGGATGTTAACGATGTAAAATCGCCAAACAAGATAAACACTCACTTTTTTGCTGCCAAAAAAAAAAATCAATAATGTTCTCACACTTTCAATCAAAGTCACTTTCACAATCTACTAGAATCACAGGTAGAACGAAAAGAAACTAGGCTCAAACTTTTATTAGCTAGAATCCAAGGGCATGTTCTTTTGTCTAAAAAATTTAAAAAAATACAATTCAAGTTTCAACTTTATTCAAGTTCACGTTCTTTTAAGTTTCAACTTTATTTAATTTTACTCAACTTTATTCAAGTTCTAACTTCAACTCAAGTTATAACTCAAATTCAACTCAATAATGTTCTCACAAGTTCTAACTTCAACATAATTACAGCCTCACAGCAAACAATGAAAATCGATCATTAGATTATAGGTGAGAAAGTCTTAGGCTTAGTTCATTTCACCGATTCGAATTTTCAGTTTTAGCTTTTTACAGTAAAAAACTCTCAGAAAATGTCACATCTAACTTTTTCTGCTACAGTGAAAAGCTCTCAGAAAATATCACATCTCAGCTCGAATTGAAAACTCAAATCCGTGAAGTGAACAAGACCTTAGTACGCCGTCATTCACTGTTATGCCACCATGATTAATCTCTCACATGCGAACAATGAAAAAAATTACAAAAGATAAGGAATACAAAAATTTAAAGTAGTTCACTCTCAATCCGAGAGTTATCTTCACTATGTTGGTGGGGGTTTCACTAAAAAGTAGGAAATACACAATACGCATTGAAGAGCAAAATAAGATTAGGGTTTGTAAGTGGTCGAATAGTCCTCTTTATACCCTTCTATGAGATACATAGATATAATTAATCCTGTAAGCTAATTTTTAGCTGGTAGTTAACTTTGAATAAGCTAAGCTCAAACATGACTTTCAAATAAGTTTAAATTTTTGAATTGTTGAATCTCTCTAGAATATTCATGGGATTACTAGGGCCTCGTTTACTTCACGGATTCGAGTTTTTAATTCGAGTTGAGATGTGATATTTTGTGAAAACTTTACACTGTAGCAGAAAAAGTTAGATGTGACATTTTCTGAGAACTTTTTATTGTAGAAACCTAGAACTGAAAACTCGAATCGGTGAAATGAACGAAGCCTAGTTCATTTTACCGATTCGAGTTTAGAATTCGAGTTTTGCTACAGTAAAAAAAATTCTCAGAAACAGTCACATCTAACTTTTTTATTATAGTAAAAAATTCTCACATAAAGTCACATCTCAACTCGAATCAGCAAACTAAACGGGCCCTCACCACTCTCAACTCTCCCTATTCAATCTAAGCTATGCCTTGACTTCACTAATTTCACTCGAGTGTCGAGCTCTTCACCTTCGAGGAAAGATATTGTTGGAAACTGATCATCGTCGAGAAGGTTAACCTTAAGGTCTTTGTCATTTTGTATAAATATATCGTGCAATTTAGGTTCATTCAAAGAGCACATTTTCTATCTTGAAATCTCATGATCAATTTGCCTAGTTGAAAGTTTGTATCGGATTCTCTGAAACAATTAATACTTAATTCTGAGTCCTGGCCATTTAAAAGACAAAAAAATAAAAGAAAGAAAAAACTAAAAAAAAGATTAAATAATTTTTTTAAAAAAATGATAATATACTTTGGGATAAACATACTGATTCACAAAATGTATTTATAGAAAGAGACCTTTGTTAGTACGCCAACATATCAGTATATCAGGTTTTATTATTTGTCGAATCTGTATAAAATCACATAAAAATAAAAAAAACTACACAAATCCAATAATTAAAAAAATTTAATTTACCCATACACTATGCAAATCTCCCTTATATAAAATTTCCCTCTTTAGAATGAAGTTCTCTTATTTTCTTTTTGTTAATTGGTTGGGCCCATGTCAAAAGCAGAACGTGGAGGAATAGGGATATTGACCTCTTCTATTGTCTCCTTTATATACTCTTCAAATAAAAGAAATATTTTAAGAAAGGAAGAGAGAGAGAGAGAGAGAGAGAGAGAGAGAGAGAGAGAGAGAGAGAGAGAGAGAGAGAGAGAGAGAGAGAGAGAGAGAGAATGGAGACGGCAGAAGAAGTAGCAAAAGTGTCGTCAATACTGAAGAGAGAGAGAGAGAGAGAGAGAGAGAGAGATTCCCTGGTATATTATTAACATTCCTGAGCTGCCATTTTCGTATCGTTTATGTTGATTTTGCGTATGAATTTAGCAACCTCTGATGACCTCCATAGTGGCAAAGTAGGGTTACTCCATTATTAATCTACATAATAATAGTTAAGGACCTTTCAAGTGGGTCCTGAGATCTCTTATAGTAGCTTAAATCCAACTTTAGTAGTTAAGCTACTGCCTTTGAAGGATTCACCGCAAAGAAAATAGAACTTCTCACCATAATTTTTTTTTGGTTTTTTTTTTGTTTTTTGACATTCTTGAAAATGAACCATGCAATAAATTATAAATCATACCTAAAACAGAAAATAAATTGTGGAACTCCGCATAGTCAGCTTCACAAGAAATATAATGGATGATTCATAGGTGATTTTCAATAGAGATATTTAGAATTTATCATTTATCTCTTTAGGAGATAGAATTGCTCCATTTTTTTTTTTTTAGTAAACTTTTTTCAGCCATAATTCAGTCACGGGAGTGAATGAATCTCATATTAGTAGTGGACGGGAACACGTAATTACAACCAAATAGGGATTATGATGAATGGAAATTGTTTGCAAGTAATCATTCTACACGGCCCACGAGTGCCTCGCGGTTCTAAAAGACCATACATGATATTTTTTAAGAATCCGTTTAGTTTGCTGATTTAAATTTTTAATTTGAGTTAGAATATAATTTTATGTGAAAATTTTTTACCGTAATAAAAAAATTAAATGTAATTATTTCTGAGAATTTTTTACTATAATAAAACTTAAATTTTAAACTTAAATCGATAAAATAAACAGACGTAAATGTTCTCTAATGTGAATGACTTGGGGTCCGTTTACTTCGTTAATTCGAGTTAATATGTGATTTTATACGATAGTTTTTTACTGTAGTAAAAAAATTAAATGTGACTGTTTTTGAGAATTTTTTACTGTAACAAAACTCAAATTCTAAATTTGAGTAAGTAAAATGAACAGAATTAACACTCTCGAACTCCTATTTGTTTCCAGGGAGTTTTAACCATAAACTACTCTTACGTGTCAAATTTTAACAAGTTAAAGCACTTTTTCAACTCTTTAAAAAAAATTTAAAACAAAAACTGAGACCCACAAGCACATTAACTTAAATTTTAAAAATATCCTTAACTTTTCAAAACAACTCAAAACACCCATCAAAGCTCATACGTTTCAAAATATCTCTTCCGTCCATTTCCATAATTGTAACTGATATGTTTATGTGGCAAGTCAATAAAGATTACACGAATGTAATAAATCCATAAAAATGATTAAATATTAAGAATAATAAAAAAGGAATTAAAAAACTTTGTTTTAAAAATAATTAAAACCCAAAAAAAAAAAAAAAAAACCAAAGTCTTCTTCCTTTTGGCTCTTACTTGCAGACCCAACGAAGAATACCCTCAGTTCCCAAAGCCAAACACCTCAACCTTACAGCCGTAGAAGTGTCGTGCCCCCATACTCCGTCGCACCGGAGAGCCGAGCCAGCAATCCACCGCCCGTGTCCCCTCTCGCAAACCCAGCCAACCTGTTTTCAAATCGCGTCGGACCGCCGTCCAATCTGGGTTTCGGTAGAGGATCGGAAGTTGCTGTGGCGGCGAAGAGGATCACGATTAAGCTAATGGGAAGAGGCGGAGACGCCAACAGTCGCGAGAGGAAGAAAATAATCGCGCCGAAGCTTGAGGGAGATTCTCGTTTTTCGTGATTGTGGAGAGGGTGACGGGGATAGTCTGATATGCTCACGGCAGCGTTCCGACGCTCATCAACAAGCGGAGGAGATGCTGCTTGGGACGGAGTCAGACTGTCAGAGGTGGCTGGGAATGTGATGGGGCGGCTAGTATAGGTTTTTTTTTTTTTTAATTTTTTAAAAAAATTTCATTTATTTAAGAAATTAAAATTTTAATTTAAATTGAGATGTGATATTTTTTAAAAAATTTTAATTATAATAAAAAATATTAAATGTGATATTTTTTAAAAAAATATAAGGATAAAAATTAAAAATTAAAAATTAAAAATGTTAAAATTAACAAGACGTTAAATGTAAGGCTCAAATTAGATGCACTTAGATGAATGGCTGAAATTCAATGGGTGTTAATTTTTTATCAATACTTTTACATATTTTAACCCTTAATAGTGCGCCACATCATCAAGAGATAGACAGAGGGACATTTTGAAACGATTTTTATATTTTAAAAGGTGTTTTGAACTGTTTTAAAAAGTTAATTCCGTTCATTTTGTCGATTTGAGTTTAGAATTTGAGTTTTATTACAGTAAAAAATTCTCAAAAACAGTCACATCTAATTTTTTTACTACAGTAAAAAATTCTCACATAAAATTACATCTCAACTCGAATTACAAACTCGAATCAACGAAATGAACGGTAAGCACTTTGAAATAAGATTCATAATTCAGGTATTTACGAAAATACTTTTCTCAATGAATTCTCAACAACAAACAAAATGATACTCTTCTATAGATGGCCGAATTAACAAAAGGTCCAAATACCCTCACTCAAATCTGAAGCACCACTCTACAAGAGAGCTAGCAAAATCTTGGACGGCTCCGAAAAGCACACAGAAAAACCCAAGAAACTCTCTTCTTCTCCTAACAAAGACCACAAACAAGCCTCTTCAAAATTGTTTTGGAGTTCTTATTCTTTTCTCCTCCCTCAAAAAAAACACTAAACATAACAACTATTAAGTATTATAGACTCCTAAGCTACAAAACTTCATGGGAAAGCCATGTTCAAGGTCTCATCAAGCCAAGCAAGACCCTGATTACCGAAATCGAAGTCGATCGGGGGAAGAGGAAGAAGACTCCCGGCCTCGCCATTTTTGTACCCGCCGCACAAAGCATAATCATCACTAATAAGATCTTGATCATCGAACAAATGGTCAACAAAATCAGTCCCAAATAGAGAATTCTCCTCAAATCCTAGCTCAAACTCCTCATTTGCCAGTGGCGAAACTATCGGCTCTTCCAACAAGTCCAAAACCCGCTCCTCTTCGTAATCCGACTCCCTTGCATTTCCTGTGCTGCATTCTTCTTTCTTTAGATTTTCAATCAGTTCAACACAACCATTTGATGCTGCACTGGACATATCGAGAACAGACGATGGCGACGGATGTGAAAACAAACTTTTCGTATCGTCTTTGCTCGTTTCTGATAAATTCAGACTTTCACACTCACTTTTAGCTCTACTTTCTCCAAATGACAAAATTTCAGATCCACCCTTTGTCTTCTCCAGCAACTGTAGCGCCTCAAATTCGCGCTTCTTCTTCTGATAAGCACCAGCAGCCTCCTCAGCGGTATTGTAAGTTCCGAGCCACAACCGACCTCCTCGAATCGGATCGCGAATTTCGGCAGCGAATTTCCCCCACTTCCTGCGCCTAACTCCCTTGTACATTGAGGAAGGTGATCTTCGAATTTTCTTGCTCCTGTCGACCTTTGAACTCATAGAATTGTTCACCTTATCGGGTTTTTGACGGTAAACACTCGCTGAACACGATTTTCGTGGTGAACCCGCAATGAAAATCTCCGAAATAAAGCGCTTGGATTTGCGAAATCCATGCCTATTGATCTCATTTTCTTCATCTTCGTCGCTTGAAGAATCGGTGGCATAAGGATCATGGCAAATAATGCGAATTCTCTTCATGGAATTTGAACGCTCGGTTTCTTTGATTAGTTTCTTCGTCTTCCCTTTGATATTACCGTTCATGACTTGATTCAAAAACTCGTTTTTAATGCCTGGCATTTTTTAAGAGTCAAAACCCCTAAACCCCAAAAGGAAAATATTCAAAAGAATAAATTATAAGGAAAAAAGAAAAAGAAAAAGAAAAAAGAAAATGAATTGTCTCCGACAGTATCAAGATAAACCCAAAATCCTAAAACACCTGAGTCCCAAAACTGAAAACGAGTATTGTTTCCTTAAATGATCTCCAAAGCAGATTATACCAGAACAAGCCCTGCAATGAATAAATAATAAAACTTTTAAAAAAGACATTTTCCAAAAAAAAAAAAAAAAAAAAAAAAAAAAATTTTCCAAAAAAAAAAAAAAAAAAAAAAAAAAAACTTAAACCCATTAAAACCCAAGGTAAAATAAACAGATAACTAATGATAATTCTGACATTTAATCTTATTAACCCAAAAAATATATATTAAATGGCATAAAAAAATATAAAAAAGAAATACCCTCCAACCTTTTTGATTTTAATTTCATGGAAAAAGCCGAGAGAGTTTGTTTATGGGTCTGACAATCAGACGAGGATTGCATGCAAAAGTTGGAGACCAGAGAGCGATTATATGAAGAAACCCAGAGCTGCTTCGGAGCTCCAGTCAACGAATCAAACCCGAACGACATAAATTCTCTGCTTCACTCTCCTCTGTATTTCTAGAGAGAGAATCTCTTTAGCGAAAAGAGAGAGAGAGAGAAAGAGAAGAATCTGAAAACAAACAGAAATATGAAAACCCAGATCAGTATTTAAACAAAACTAAAAGATTATGCATCAATGGACCAGAAAATTTCGGGATTTTTCTTACGGATTTTTTTTTTTCCAAAACCAAGCAAGCAAATAACTGGGAATAAAAATTAATTCAAGCACAAAATATAGCAAAGGGGGGAAATGAGCAACTTTTGTTTTCAACTTACTCAAAAGTAATGGTGGATAAAGCTTTTCTTCTCTGGCTTGATTTTCTCTCTCTAGACTTCGCCTAGAGACGAAGAGACACACTCTCTCTCTCTCTCTCTCTCTCCCTTACTGTCTCCGTTTCCAAAGGGATAGAAATGAGAGACCGAGAGGGGCATTTATGTTAATGTCATGCCCGCATGTACCAAACAACGGACCATCTGTCTGTCCCACACCCAATCCCATTTTGTGCATGGGTTCCGTTACTCTGCATCCCAGCTCAGCCTTTTTTTCCCATTTCCCACTTCCGGAGTGGGACCCACGTCATTTTGACCTTCACTATTGCTGGCTCGAGGGGTATTTTGGGTAGTGAGATTGGCCCTTTTTGACGTGTCACGTTTTTATTGGGTAAATGAACAGACGCTTGGGTTTATTTTCAAAACGCGCAGACGTTTGACCGAATGATTTAAATCGAACGGTCTTCATTCTATGAGACTGTATACTACAAGAGGATTTCTTTGATTGTACCGTTACATCTACTTTCGGTTTAAATTCTAAAATTAAGGTGAAAGAGCTTACGATAAGGTACTCCTACCTTAAAATTTCTTGTATCTATAACGATTAACGACCGTATAAAAATAACGATAATAATTAGTCCAATAATAAAGATAATTTTATATTATTAAGTACATTTAAAAAAAGTTGTTAATTAACTTCGTAAATGCTTTAGACTTTAAATCTAGAAGTTCAGAGTGTAATCCGCAAACTGGCCCGTTCATTTCGCTGATTCGAGTTTTTCTATAGTAAAAAGTTCTCACAAACAATCACATCTAAGTTTTTTGCTACAGTAAAAAGCTCTCACATAAAGTCACATCTCAACTCGAATTAAAAATTCGAATCAACGAACTAAACGGGCCCAATTGGCGACTGTTTGACTATTTTCATTTCATTTACGTGAGAAAAGAAACACTTTTAATCATAAGCAATAATAAAAGTAGGGCCCGTTCGGTTCGTTAATTTGAGTTTTTAATTCGAGTTGAGATGTGATGTTGTGTGAGAGCTTTTTACTGTAGTAAAAAAGTTAGATGTGACTGTTTCTGAGAGCTTTTTATTGTAGCAAAATTTGAATATTAAACTCGAATCAGCGAAAAGAACGGAGCCGTAGGCCTCGTTCACTTCGCAGATTCGAGTTTTCAATTCGAGCTGAGATGTGACATTTTCAGAGAGCTTTTTACTGTAGTAAAAAAAGTTAGATGTGATATTTTCTGAGAGCTTTTTACTGTAGAAATTTAGAACTGAAAACTCGAATTGGTGAAATGAACGAGGCCTAATATTCAAGTATTTTGAGAAAAAAATAGTAGTATGCTAAAATTAAGGGTACCCTCAAAAAATTACTGAAAAATCCTTTTAATATTCTTTTTCTGAAAAAAAAATAATCACTTTGAAACCCTATGGTATTTACAATATTAAAAAGTTACACTCCCTTTTTTAAATTATCATTTTAGTAATGAACGATATTGGAACATAAAATATCATTTATCCCTTTTTTAATTGTTATATATTTACAGAAAATGTCAAAAATTTCATTTATTTATATTTGGACAAATGGATAATATTTACTTATGTTTTCGGTCCTTGTATTCCTAATTTCTAACCATTTAAATGAAACTAAGAATAATAATAGAAAAATCATTTCTAAAAAACATTTTCAGGTTATCAAGATAAAAATTTTTAAAACGTCAAGTTACCATTTTAATTTTATAAAAAATATGGGGTTTTTAATAAATTTTGTTTTGTTGGGAAAATCAGCTACCAAAGTATATATTTTGCTTAAATTAATAACATTCTTTTTAAGTTTTATAATAAAAGATTAATTGCATTTTAGTTGTCCACGAGTACAAACACGTGAATAGGGTCCGTTTAGTTCGCTGGTTCGAGTTTTTAATTTGAGTTGAGATGTGACTTTATGTGAGAGCTTTTTACTGTAGCAAAAAAGTTAGATGTGACTGTTTCTGAGAGCTTTTTACTGTAGCAAACTCAAATTCTAAACTCGAATCGGTGAAATGAACGGGACCCCAATCCACAATCTCCGAGATCCTTCGATTTATCTAATAGTTCCAATGGGGTGCCTCTTTTATTTTATCCTATTAGGCTTGAACCCTTTTTTTAATTATTATTCCATTTGTTGCATCAGCTCAAAGAATATGAAGTTAAATGATGCACCAAGTAATTCTTGAAAGTCATTGTCGATTGGGGTACTCACTCCTCTTGGTTCTCAACACTAATTATAAAAAATAAAAAAAATAAAAAAACATTTAATTTGGAATTATTATATTTAGTTAGGCAATGTCTACAAGAAATGTTCTAATTAACATGTAAAAGTAAAAACATAACATGACATTTATTTAATGTAACATAAATATTAAAAAGACACAGAATCAAGAAATTTAACTATTTCATACTATTACTACATTTTAATTTAGTTTTTTAATATAATATGGATGTGAGAAAGGTGTAATAACGGTCGGTTATAATTAAATACATTGATGTCTCACATTTTTAACGTCGGTTGTACATCAAACAAATGTCATATTACGTTTTTATTTTTACATGTTGCATTGGTGGGATCGTTCCATCGATAAGACTATAGACAAACTGGATTACTTATTACAAATCTATGTTAATTCTATAGTTACCCCTAATTATTTACTTAAAATTATTACTTATTTACCCCTTAAAATATATTTTCCCACCCACTTTTTCATTTTTTTTTTCACTTGGGTACTCATTACTCTCTCTGTTTTAGATAATAAGGCTATATACATATATATATATATATATAATTTGCTCCTTTTTCATTTTGACAAAACGATACTTAAATTATCAGAACATTTGCAATAAAGCCCTTCGCAACAAATCTCAGTAAGTTTTTAACAAATTCTTGGTTGTTACTTTATCATGTGGCTTTGTAAAATTTTTCAGTAAAAATATCAAAATACCATAAAAAAAAAAAACTCAAACCTCTTTTTTTTTTTTTTTAATGTAAAACTAGCTATAAGCACGTGCTAGCCATGTGCATATTAAGAGATCTAAAATTTCTTAAAAGTGTTCATTTTCTTGATTTATTATTCTTGTAATATTAAGCTTAGCAAAAACTTATTTAAAAAGATCATATTTAAAAAGAAAAATTTTAGTGAGAAAATTAGAAAATACAATATTTTGTAGTTATTTATAAGAAATAGTATTTAACAGAATTGTATGAAAAAAGATGTCTAAGTTGTGGCACATTTGAGGGGAAAAAAAATTTTAGTGAGGAAATAACGGAAAGAAAATATCTATGAGGAATTTAAAAATCAACGTTACTTTAGAAGACTACCAAAAAAATATTTAAGTAGCTTCATATTTCAGAAATGTTATTTCAATATGGGCAAATTCGTTAAAAAAATGATAAAGTACATTCAAAATATAAAAATCTAAAAATAAACAAAGAACCAAATGGATCAAGCATGTTCATTAAAAACATGCGTTTTGGTTAAATATAAATATGAAAAGCTATGTATTCAGGTAGAACACTAGGACATATCTGGAAAAAGAAATAATACTTAAGCCAGCAAATTAGAGAAAAGATTAATTAGGTGGTACTATGAGAAAATTGCACCTGAGAGGGTCTTGTAGAAAGGAAAAATTAGGAGCAGAAATACATTTGATGAAAATTATTTCAATAGGGAAAATTAGAGAAATAATGGGCGCGTTTGGAACTCGTTTTAAAATAATTTTATTTTTTATATGAAAATAAAAATGAAAACGTTTTCAATCTCAGATATAAATAATTTTTGAAAATGTGTTTGGTAGTTTTATCAAGAGATTGTTTTCAGTATAAAAAAACTCATTAATGTCTCTCTCTCTCTCTCTCTCTGCTCGAGAGAGCTGAAAATGAAAACAAAAAATGAAAAAGTCATTTTTCATTTCTCTCTCATTTTATACTAAACTAAAAAATTATTTTCATTTTCATTTTTTGTCTTTATTGCGCCAAACGCCGTTTTAAAAATATTTTCATTTTTTTTCTTGACAAACGTGAAAAATAAAAATGAGATCAATTCCAAACACAGCCAATATCTACAGGTAAAAAGTAGTTAAGAGTTTCGCTAGGTGAAAACAAAAAAGAATGCTTTAAAGTAGGGACATGTTGAAGTAATTGTAATTACTTCTATAGGGAAATTTAGAAATATATATTTGATAATTAGTTTTATGGTTTTGGGGCTTTGTTTCTATTGTTTATTGGGAGAATGAAGTCAATGGCATAATTATTAATAAATAATTAAAGTAAATAGTAATTTTTAAAACTATTTAAAATAAATAGTAGTAAATTAAACATTTATACGGTCAGATCCGACTCAAGAACTTTTAAGGTTTAGGTAAAAATTTTAGAGAAAATTGTAGAATTTACTCTTAATAGTGCATGAGTCTAGACTTTTATCTTTTATTCTTAATAAATACCATTTTGTTAGCGTAATTATTTGACTAAAAAGGTTATGAATCAAGAGTAAATGGTAAAAATCATGACTCATGCACTTTTAAAAAATATTTGTCAAGATTACTCAAAATTTTAAGGGGTTGTTCTTATAAAGTTAAGAAAAATCTTTAAGATATATTTACAACATTAAAAAATCAATTATTTTTTTTTAATTTTTGAGAAGTAATTAAATTTAGTTTATGTTTATTTTCATCATGTAAAATTCTTCAACTAAAATCATAAAATATACAAACTTATTTTTCTATCATTTTCAAAATAAAAAAGAAGGCGTTTTAATGAAAGTTTTTTTTTTTTCATCTTTCTGTATGGTTTTTTTCCCTCTTTCTGTATGGTTTGAAATAAAAATATTTAATAATTAAATTAGGGCCTTGAATCAAATGAGGCCTTGGGCAAGTGCTTAAGCTACCTTAAGGTAAGGCCGGCACTATTCGTGATAAAAGTTTTTTACGAGTCGTAAATAGAACATTTATAGAGTAAATTATTTGTCATAAATAGAAATTTATGTGGTAACTTTCTAATAATATTTACTTTAAATAAATTAAAATATGTTATTTACTTGATTATATAGTTTCATAAGAATTGTTAATTACTACAATTTTTG